CCTTAGCGCGACCCAGGCGAGAGCGCAGTGCTGCGCCGCAAGCTGCCCGCGCCGTTCGCGGACCCCCCTGCCCGAGTTAGTTCACGTCGCGTCACCTGGGGCAATCGGAGCTACCCCGAGGGACTCCAGGCCTTTGTACGTAACGTCAAACTTTCTTTTCTAAAAAATGTCCTCTCAAAACATAAACTGATCCACCAGCATGTCAGTTTTTGCAATTCACTCACTACTGTTACAGTTAGTGAATTCTTCTGGCGTGTCTGTCAGTTTGTGTAGGTAAGCAAGCGGATTCCTATAGAAACCCCCAAACACAAGTGACCTCAACAACATAAAAAGGTCCCTCTCGAGTCTGATGTCACCATTCAGTTCTTGATAACTATCAGCATCTATCGCTTGCAGTGACTTTGCTGTAGCTAAGTCAACCCTGCTTTCAAATTTGAGGATGAGGGAAGGGGTTAAAGCACAATCCTAACAAGAGGAGTGTCAGTCAAAGCACAGCCTGACTGCTTGTTCCACCCTAGCTGAATTACTGCAGGATCACATCCTCCACTTCCACATCACCGAGATCGTGCTTCAGTTCCACAACAAGTCACGGAATCCTCAGCAGGTGTAAGGCTCTGATGCCGCGTGCACCAGGCAGGAACGTACCCTGCAGGGGCATGAAAGAGCCTCCAGGTAAAGTGATTTAGAGAGGAAGGATGATTCTGGAGCCCGACACTTCCGAGAGGGAGTCTGTGCTATAACGAGCAATGCTGAACACAGACGGGTGTAAATAACTGCAGTGATCGTGGTCTCTCCGCTCCCTCACAGGGCTCCCAACCGCTGACTCTGGAGCACAGAGCTGCCCTCGCTAGGCAGGGTGCAGACAACTGCCGCCTTGTGTTTAAACTTCAAAATGCGGAAGGTCAGAAAGGAATGTCAGAAAATACATTTATAAAACTGAACCCTACCCTGTGTTCAATTAAAATAAACTTCTCCGTGTACCTACTCTCTCTGCAGAGTTTGTGCTTCGACACGAGCGTTTGCAGAATGCTACCACCACGAGGCTTCTGGCCGTGCCCTGCGGAGCTGGAGGCCTGGCTGTCCCCGGCTGTCCCCGTGGGAGAGCAGGTGAGGAAGCCCCGGCAGCAACGCGCCCGTGGCCTCGCGCGGGGAGCGCTCGGCGCGTGCGGGGGAGCGGGAGCCGCGCGCGAGCGCCTGGTCCCGCCGTGCCCTGCGCCCTGCGCCCTGCCGTGTGCGAACCACTTAACTTCAGCGGATCCAGTACCAATCTTGCACTTTTAATCCATCACACAACAGATGCAACTCAGACATCATAGTTTAAGCATGCAACATGTCATAGTAACAAAATTGATTAGATAGCAGTGTATATTAAATAAATTTTTGTGATTAAGTAAAAAATAAATCACAAAAACAATTGGTGAGAACATGTCTGCAGGCTCAGCTCTACATCTGTTTTTTTTTTCTTTTATACATCAGCAGCAGCCAAATTCACAATTGATAGATATTGCACCAGAAAGACATGTGCAGTGAGAGAAGGAATATAATCACATTAATGTGTATGATAAAAAACAGATATGACTTCCATGTGTTACATAAAGTGCCTTTAGAGTTGGTGCAGTTAGAAACAAACAAAAAATAGTTATTTAGTTATCATTAGCAAATGCATACAAATAGGAGACAAAACAGATCTGTTTTCCATAGTGCCAAATCACGCAGTGTCAGGTTTCATTCAAAATGCCTCCGTTGCAAACAGTAAAGAGGAAAGGATAATAAAAGTATCACTGTACAAAGGTAATGACAGGGTTAAGCAAAATCATTAATGCCAACCCTACCCCAAAATGTTTTATAGTACATGTAAATATTATCAAGGAATAATGAGGCAGTTTCTTCACTGAACATGAGATTGGGCATGCTAGGTTATGATTCTCTCTTGACTTTTAACTATCCTATTGATCTATACAAAAGAGCAACATCCAATCCTTCTGGAGACAAAAAGTATTTTATGTGCTCAGTGAAAAGGTTTTTAGAGTTGCTCTTGATACAGCCCGTGAACAGAAAACTTCCACCAGAGCTTTCTCCTATTTTCTTTCTTTAATGGTTTGGGAACACGAGGCTCAAAATGTGCTTTGAAAAAAATGACACTGGCATCAAGTCTGGTATGAAATTAAGAATAAGAAAAATGCTCATTTTTCCAAGTACATGATATTTAATTGTAATGAAATAAAATCTGAAAATGTCTAAATCAATTAAAAAGTAAACATGAGTTGTAATACTATACCTGTAAAATGATTAATTCCATTCATTGTCATTAGAAATTATGTAAAATATTTATTAAGGGCTTTGCCTACAGAGGCACAACATAAATAGAACAAGTCTTGCTGAAATGTAATCAGAGTACATGTTAACCAGTTGGTAATTTGCTGCGGAAATGTCAGAAAAAACAATCCACAGGTTATAGTTCAAACTTCTGAATTTAGGCAACTGCACTGTAGAAGTGTTTGCTCCATGAACCAACATTGTGCAACTGTTCTGCCATAGTCACTCAGAGTCCGTTAGGCAAATGCAAAAGTGCAAGCAGAACTTGCTTGAAGGGGAAAAAAGGTAGTTGTTTTAATCCACTCCTTCAAATCCTTGAGCATTTTCAACTGCCATAAGTAGCTTCTCTCGTAAATCTTCAAAAGATTCATAAAGAGGTAAGTCTAGGCGATTAAAGCTGAAATTTAGAAAGAAAAGATTAATTTAGTAATTGAAAAATGTACATAATAGAATTCTATTTACATTTTAAATTCTATTTAAAGAAATAGAAAGGTTAAATTATTTGGAGGCCTTCACACAGGGTGTATCTTATTGTCCAAGTGAGGGCGATCTCCCATAGTGCCCTTTGCAAACCTGGCTAAAAGCTTGTGTTTGCAAAATGGGGTTTCAGAAATTCCTTTCTTTGCAGAACTGGATGTGGGAATTTTTTAAAACCTACTTAGAAAAGGAAAAAAGAAAAGAAAAAATAGAGTCAGGTGATGGGAAACAGCTTTCTGACAAAGATGAAATGTTTTCAAAGCCTCAGCAGGCTTCTCCCTCTGGGGGAGAAAAAGAATAGGAATAAACACCCAAAAGAAGATTTTGAAAAAGTCCTGTACAATCTAAAGGAGAACTGAAAAATAGAACATTTTTGTTTTATTCTATGGAATGGTGTTTTTTATGCCATGCTTTGTCCAGTCAGACTTTTCAGAGTTCACTGATTCCATGTACCAGGAATAGGAAAAAAGAATCACTGCAAACAAGAGAAGACCACGATGACAGCTCTGTTTTTATCCCTTTCTGACTTACCATGTGTGAGCTCTGGGCAGTTTATCAGGACTTCCCCATTGCTCTATTGTAAACAGCTGAGGACCATTTGAACCTGGTTGAAAATGAAAAACATGCGGAGGTTAAATTCCTGGACAGTGCAGGGACTACTTACAGGTTATTTTCAAAAGTAAATGTTGACACAAATTCTAGGTTATATTATCAGTTGGTATGGATTAGCTGGTACAAACTCTCTGAAGTCAAGTCTACATTAAAGCACATAGAAATGATGTATTTGTTTTCACATAAGCTTGTTGAGCTACCTTTGCACAGAGATACTGTAAAATTCCAAAGCAGCAAACTTGGACATTATGTGATAAAATCACAACCTCCTCTTCCTCATATGCCATGATTATTATTCCTGATGACAGTCAAAATTTGCTTAGTGGAAGCTGATACATTCCCGGGCAAGGAAAATGTCTGCATAGCGCCTGATTTGTCCCAACCTTGAGGTGCCCCCCACATTCCCCACGGTTCCTGGCTCCAGGAGGGAGAAACCTGAAGCCGGCTCCGCGCCGGGCAGTTGCTGCACAGAGCTGGTCCCACTGCACTGCGGATAAGCAGGACCGGGAAGCGGCTCACCGTAGAGTTCAGCAAATCCGTTCATAGGCACGCGTGACGTCCCGGTAACAAACTGCAGTAATCGGATCCGTTTCTCGGCGTCCATCAGTAAAACAGCCTACGGACACAGGGACACACGGTCACCAGCTCTCCCCGGGATAGCTGGAGATGCCGTTTGTTTCTACTAGAGCGCGAGACTTGGACCCATGGGTAGCGATGCCGACTGGGCCATGGCTACATGGGGAGCGTCCTGAGCGCCACCGGGCCCAACGCCGGAGGCGTCGCTGCGGCAGCAGCCGCCTCGTCTCCACAGGAGGGTTCCCTGGTGCATCCGCAGCCCTCGCCTGCCAAGAGGCATCCAGAGGGTCAGAAAAACCCAGACCAGGGAGTCCATACAAAGAGTGCGGAGCCAAAACTCCTGGGACCGTCTCACCATTTGGACTAGTAAATCTTCATGCTGTTGTAGCGTGGTGATTGCTGGCACAAGGAGATATTCTGCATTTATACCATGAAAAGGTATTTACACCATGAAATGGTCATGAAAATGACATAAGAAACCCCCAAATTTGAATATATGCATCAAGCTGCAGGATTCTCAGAATTTAAAGTAGCTACCCCCTTATGCAAAAATATTTTAGTGTTTTTTTTATGAACATATGTTTCTCATAAAAATATTTTACTTCATAAATACTTCAAGACTGTTTATCTAAAGCCAAAGACCCAACTTTAGAGCTTGGGTCTGTCCCAGCGCGGTCTCTCCGCCCCCGGGGGGCGGCTGCGGCGGGCGCGTTACCTTCCAGAACCACTGGATGACGGGGTGGTTGGGGCATTAGCCGTTCTTGTAGATGGTGTGCTGCCTCCAGTCGTTGACGTCCACGTCCCCGAGGCCGCACATGAGCAGCTGAGGCACATGAGGCAACGGGTGGGTTGTGGTTACGCGGGCGGCTCCCGCCGGGCGCCCACGCTCCCCCTCGTCCCCCTCGTCCCCATCGCGGGAGGAGGCCGCGCAGGCCGGCAGCGGGGTCGAGTCGTGGACGGCACCGTTTGGGCGTCCTCTCAAACTCACGTGGCGCAGGCAGGCAGGACGCCAGCCAGCTACGCGCCGGCCTCACTCAAACAGCAATATTTGTTGTGCTTTTTGTTTAAGAGACTCATTACTTAGAGGGAGAAAGTCCTCTTCCCACCAGAAGTAAAGCATCTTTGCATCCCAATTCAGTTACAATTTAGTGAATGCAGAATATACAGCTCTATTTGCAGGAAGCACTACCGATCTCTTGTCTCTAGAAGTCAATTATATGTACGCACCTCTAGCTCGTTTTCATCAAAAATTTTTATCAAATCAATAGGAAGAAGCTCTGTGAATCCCTGAAAGAAAGCAAAGCAGAGTTAAAAATCTCGTACCATATGCAATTAAATTTTTATTTAACACGATCTTCTGACTTCATGGATAGTAAGTAAATAAAATATATAGTTGTAAAAGTATTATGAATATCTAATTTAAAAATTAATCTTTTTTTCAAGTTCCAGTAATTTAAACTTGAAAGAGAAGGACCACATAAATATGAAAATATGAAACCATAAACATTGTGATTATGGAGCCCATGCAATCATACAAAACTCCCCACTCCCTCGATCCAGATACAGAAGTATAAGAAGCCTGTATAAATAAAATAACATTACTCTAGACTCTTAAAAATATTCATAACGTTAAAAGATTTTTTGTGAAAAACAGCAACTTTTAAAAGACCTTACCTCCAAAAAGGCATTCATCTGTTTTTGAACTCTATTTACAAATCTCCACTGGATGACGAGGCTGCAGTAGAGGAACAAATTCATTAGCAGATTGGAAGCAAAGTGTTCAGAGATTGTAACTACCCTGATAGTTTCAGTTTCTCATTCACAGCTTCACTCACACTCTGACCTTAAACTCTGAACATAACTTGGAAAAAATCCCTCCAATCCCTCAAGTTCCTCTGTCTGTGAAACACCTGAACATGAACAGCGTTTTATTAATTGTTCCAATTTACCTTGCGTGGCCTTTCAGAGTGATGGAAAAATCCCTGACGAGTATAGAGAAGTTTAGTAACGAGTATTTTCAATTTAGCATGTGACATTAAAACTCTGTACATAAATTCAAAGTTTTTTAGATATGACCTTTATCACAAAAAAATTTTGATGTGACACTAGCAGATCACATGCCATTAATCTTTCTGTTCCTATGGATGTTTACTCAAAGATGAACATGGTAAAATGCCTTACTTGTGGACTGAAATAGCCTAGAAATTCTTGATTTCTTTCTAAGTAATGCTATGATTTAGATCCCAGATGCTGTTTTTAGGTACTTAAATAATTAGCCATTTTATTCCCCCAGAGCTCTGGGTAACTGACAATGGTCAGTGACGTCTGCTGGGGCTGTCAATAAGCAGATAAAGAGATGGGTGAATAAAAA